GTGGAATACAAGACAGTAATACTAAGTAACTGTCACCACTGCCAACCTGTGAAACCTTTTCATTATCCCAAACTGGAACACTGCACATCTAGCTTCTTGAAAGCCCCCCATTTTCTCCCACACCCCAGCCCCTGGGTAACAATTGTTTTATTTTTGAACTTTGTGGATTTGACTGCTCTAAGTACTTAATATAAGTGGATTCATGCAAGTTTTGTTCTAAGTGCTCATACAGGTTTTGTCTTTTTATTCTCTTTTGGTTTCTTGTGACAAGATTGAACTGTATAGCTCAGACTGACCAGAAATTCATTATGAAGCCTGGGCCTCAAAAGTGTGACAATGCTTCTGCCTCAGTCTTCCAAATGGTAGGAGTGCAGACATGAGTCACTACACAGAGCTATATTTGTCCTTTTATGACAGGCTTATTTCACTTAGCATAATTTCCTCAGTGTTCATCCATGTTATTTTTTCTCTCAAGATCTTATTTACATTTAAAACTAAGTTATAATTTCATTTTATTTGTCACATTTTTTCCAGCCCTTGTTTCATCCATGGAACATTTGATTGTTTTACCTTTCTATTTACCAATATCACCCTTTCATTCTTTTGTCACCCCCAGTGTCAATCAACCCAGGCTCTCATATTTTCTTGATATCTGCTCCTGTTGGTCACTATATGTAAGATCAACTCCCTTGTTTAGGAAGCCAACCTACATACCATACATGTGAGCCTAGACGTCTTCTTCAGTAATAATCCTTTGGTTACATTGCCTCATACAACTATTCTCAGGAACTGAATGCTCAAGAAGTATAGATATGTCCACCACATGGATGTATCTGCCTCCCTTACTATGGCTGCAAATCCTAGGAGGGCAGGTACATACCATCTCATATTTATCATCATTGTCTCCACTTCCAGATCTCAAGCACAGCATATCATACACATTTAAGAAAAAAAATTGTTCAACTGTAGAATGAACTCTGGTTTAGAATTCTCCTCTCTTTACACAGCCATGCCTTAAATCAATAGGAAATTTTTCTCCACTAGTAAAATATTTGGTGTTCAAAGTATAAGATAGTCTATAAACAAGAGGCATAGTATAGCTTCTTGACTCTCTATACACGTAGCCTTATTCATCACACAAATACTTAAATCTGCCATACCTGTTCCCTCCTTGACTGCAAACCTAGCATTGATTTAGGTTTTTGCTCTTGCACTTATTTGTTTAAATTATTTCTGACAGGTTTTGCTTTGTTTTTCCTGAAATTTCATGTCCCTGATATTTACAAATCAAGGGATGTTCCAGTGGCCTCTTCTAAGGTGTGACCTTCATCTCTGCTCATCATGTACAAGGCACCCCCTTTTGCTTTCTCATTTCTGTCTTCATCACTATCCTTGCTTGTTTTCACTAAAGTTATTTACTTAGTTTAATGGGCTCACCTGCTCAGGGGTCAGCTTTGAGACCTCCTTCATGTTTCTTCAATTTTCTCAAATATTCCTCTGTTTAACAGGTTTCTAGTGATAGAATCAATGTCATAGAAAGCTTGAAGTCTTTACCTAAAGGTTTTCCAGCTATATGACTTTTGTTTAATGTATTAGCTTTGAACATTTCAAAATGAAGAGTTAAAATCTAAAATGTGTGTTAGAAACTCCCTGTTCAAAACAATTAATGTGAAAAATCTTCACCACAAATATGTATGTATCAAGCATGGTGTTAAGATTCCATTTTGAAGACTTCATCTTCTTTCATATGCACCCTCCCCTCAAGGGGAAGCCAGGTGAAAATTTATATTAATGCACAGGTAGAATAAAACTTCTTTCTAAGAGAGGGACCTATGGGAATAGATGAAGGGAATATGGGAGTCTGATTTGGTGGGAGGTGATAGGGCAAAAAAATCCGAGGTGTTGAAAGCTCACACTCGTTCAGTGATATTTCCACACTCTGAATTTCAATGCAGAAAGCAACAGGGGATCATGCTGGAAGAGAAAGATCAAAGCTGGGCATTTTTCTCTCCTTCATTAATGTCTAATTCCATCCCATGTGAATCTACCATCTCCCTACAGAAGCACACCTTTTTAGAATAATCACAATTTTAGTATATGTAATTGAATATTCATTTTAAGTGGGCTAGTCTTTGGAGATGTAGAAGCTGATTGATATTAACAGTAATTAGTTTTGTGCTCTCACAGGTTCTCTTTCTATCACTGTAATTTGAGTATTGTAGTTTGTTCTCCAATATTCGTTCTATCTCAACTCTATTGAGTAGCTCTGTCCCAACTCTATTGAGTAGCAGCAGTAAATGTTTGGGAAACTGAGCATAGTTGAATTTCACTTGGCTTAAGTTCACTGCAGTCACTTCAAGGGTTTCAGTCCAATAATGAACATGTTATTTACTTTCAGCCAATGGGAAAGGATTAAAGTTTAAAGGATGATTTGGGGGAAAGAACCGCCTAAGTTCTCTCTTCTTCAAGGCTAATACCTGAAGCATGTAGCTCAAGGGTCTCTATGTATAGGATAAAGGTGATGCTACCAATAGCAACATGAAGAGATGGGGAGGGGTATCAAGGTCCTTTAGAGGACTCTTGAGCTACAAACTCAGCTATCTTGGGACTTGTACTTAGACAGAGCTTTCCATTATAAAAGCTTACAAGTTTCCTTTATATTTAATCTAGTTTAGATGTGCTCATCTCTAACTTAAAATCATGTGCATTCCAAATGATCCTTGATCTTTGAGACCTTCTGCAGACACCTGTGTGACCTTTTGTGACCATAACCCTTTTGAGCCTCATTTCCTTTATCTGAAAAATGAATATAATTATATCTGGCAGAGTTTTTCATGAATATCATTTGAGGTTCATAACACAGCCTGAGGGAGAGCACATGAACTGATACTTTCAGAGTGCTTGACTTTGTGATGTGGCTGCTCATTGCTTTTAGGAAAGCTGGAGACTAAGGGAAAAGAAATCCACTAATAGTATCTATATAAAATGGCAGGAAATTGCATGCCTATGATCTTCCTTTCAAGCAGATGGTTTAGATTATTGGATATTTATTCTCTGAGGCACTTGGTATACTAGGGGAAGGTCACGGGTGCAGGGGTGAAAAAGAGTACTAGAAAAAAGTGTATATAGAAGTCACATTAAAGGCAAAACTTAAAGGCTGAGTAGAAGTTGGGTGAATAATGGAGGACATTTTAAGCGGAGAAAGAGGTACAGGTGTTTGAGTTGAGAAAAAGGAAGCATGTGAACAAAGATTGTTGATCAAGGGATATTGTAGCGGGGAGAGAACCTGGAAAGATCAAAGAAGACAGATAACAATGGAATTTGTTAGACAAGACAAAGATTTCTGAATGATATATGTGTGAAATGAGGCCACCGGAAAGTTTTAAGCAAAGGAGTCTCATGGCATGGTATACACACATTTATGTTCATGGGTCTTAAGGGACAAGAAGAAGCAGATGAATTAGGTTGGCAGTCTGAGTATGTGATGTCTGCCTTGGTCTACAGTGGGGGAAAGGGAGATGGAACAGGGGATGCATATGAACACTTGTTTGAGTTCCAGCTAATGGTTTTGCTGGTAGATGGGGGGGATTGTGGTGAATCTTGGGTAGAGTGAAGCCATGCATGACTCCTCAGCTTTGGGGAAATCAACAGGCAGATTTTTGTCAGTTCAGTATTGAACATGTTCCGATTAGGTGTTTCCTGTAGCAAAAGCTATGGGAATCAATGATACCTGTTAGTAAGAAAGTAGAGAATAGGAAGAAAATGCCTTACCTCACTTCTATTGTGAAGTATTGTCTAAGTAATTTTCTCTATAAAATAGTCTTCAAAAGTTAGTAAGAGAAGTGGGAACCACAGCCTTGTTAGAGTAGCTAGTGAAAAATGCAGGAGTGTAGAGTTGAAGAGATGACCAAAGGGGAAGAATGAAAAGGGGGAAGGTAAAGATGATGGATTATGGGAGAATGTCAGTGAATTAATGTCCTCACAGAGATAAAAGGGAGATTTTAGTATTTGACTTTGAGCCATCTGAGATCAAAGAGCTGATGATGTGGATGAGAATTCAAATCTTTTGGGTTTGGAACACAGAGATGCTTTATTATGACACATCCTAAAACACATGCACATTTATGCCATGTGCACACATACAAATGTACAGGTATACAGATGCATGTGCAAGTAGTGGTCTGTGGTAATTTGTCTCAGTGAATATATGATTCTCATCACATTCATTGCTATTTCTTAGATAAAATTGGGTTACATAGGTATATAGGAGGAGCTTATACCTATTTTTCAAATAAATATCCCAAAATATGAGCCCCAGATTTTATTGGTAGAGATAGTCATTTCCAAAGATACAGAGACTAAGATGAAAAATTAGAAACTATTGTGCTTGAGTGCTCTAATCCCCTCACCTTTATCTTTTCTTCCATTGTAGCAGTGATAACTTTTAGAAATCATGAGTTCATTTGTCTGTACAGTTCTTAGAATGTTCCACCTGTGTTATTGAAGTCTATATTGGAAGAGTTTACCACAAGGACGGTGTGTATACACATGCCCAATAAATATAGGGTGATTGAATTTAAGAGGGTAGATGGAGTGGATGGATGTTTTATGAACAGAGGATTTCAGTAGGATGCAGAGAATGAGCAGGTTCTAGATGCAGGCAGAGCCATACAGGAGGCTGCAGGGCTGAAACAGCTAAGTGGGAGGTAGTCATGACGTTGCCTGATCTGGTGCTCCATCTGTAATGTGGGGATGAGCAATGTGCTCAAAGTAAACGTCTTTGGAATCAAGGGGTTTGGATTTATACTTCCAAGCTCAAGATTTCCTACAATGCCTTGTTCTTTCCTTACCTATGTTGTTTCCCACAGTCATTAAACCACCTCTCAGCTCACAGACACCTTGTTTCTTCCCACTTAGGCCTGATGAAATATTTCCTGTCACAAACACTTTCTTTGTATGATCTGTTTGTTTCCTGAGACCTATTCGTTCGTCTCTCCTAGCTCTCCACTGTGGTTTGAATCCACGGGGTATCGATCACCCTGCCCATGCTGAAGGAATTAAGCTGAAAATTGAAGGTGAAGGTGTAGAATCTCAATCCATTAAAAACAAAAATTTCCAGAAGGTGCCTGACCAAAAAGGAACCCCCAAGAGACTGCTGGGAGAAGCTGAGACAGCAAAGGTGAGCCACTCGCCAATTAAGCACTAAAAGTCTGAAACTGTAGCTTTGCTAAACCATGGTCCAGCCACAGAGGAGGGCCGATAATGATTCTGCTAATCACTGATGTATCTTTGGTTATATTAGCACTGTGTCTTGCTGATAAATGATAATAAATGACAGTGTTGACTGAGTTTCACTTTGGGTGAAATCGAAACACATGTGTAGCTGTCTCATAGTGTGAGGCTCTGGACCATGGGTTATAGAAAAGACCCTCTGTACTTAACAAGAATAGGTTTTTAAACCTTCTTTTTTTGCACAAGTTATGCAACTTGACATTTCATAGTCTCCCTTTACAAAGGAATCCTAAAATCTGCTTCCCCTATTAGGATGAGCTGAGCTGAATAACTGATTTTGTGCCCTTAGGGGCTTTTGCTGACAAAAGCTACTAATGATAATAACTGACTTTTGTAAATTATATGCATATATGGCAAATTTAAAGGTACAGGGGCTTATTGTGTCTTTAATCCTCCTATGAGTCAGATGATAGCAAACCTTAGTTAATGAAAGAAATAACTGTTTTATTTTGACTGTTCAGTCTTTGTCCTAAAGGTAGGTGCCCTACAACTGCCAAAGTATGTGTTGAAAGTATATCAAAGAGTGAGTGGGGTGCTGAGGGGCTGATGAGGGTTTTTTTTTTTTTTTTTTGGTGAGGTGTTTTTTTTTGGTGAGGTGAGGACAGTTTCTTTCTTTCTTTTTTTTCCATCACAGGCAATTTATTTTGTTCTATTCATTCACAGTTAATACAGAAAATACTTGGAAACATTTCCATAAAATGTTTGACACAGAAATCATCAAATAGAAGTATACAATGTTGACAGGAGGCAGTACATTTATAATTTATAACCCCAAATGTATTTATAAATTAGAAATGGA